GAAAATCTTTAAGCGAGTCGCCAAAGCAAGAAAAAGGCTGCATCTGACCCAATGGCAGCAGTGAAATTTGAGCAGGAGAGAAAACTGAAGCGCCGCATGAGCAAGATGAAAATGAAGCAAAGACGATCCGAGGAAAAACGTGAGAAGGTGGAGGCGAAAACAGAGTAGGTGATTTTATCATCGTATTTTCTTTCCGTGAGTAACCAGACGCTCTTTTTAGAGCAAAGAAAGAGAAGGTCGAAGCGAAAGACAAACCAGTTTCTTTTTCGAAGTTTGACTTTCTGATTAAGGCAGATGGCAAGAAGAAGAGGGTAAGAAGTTGTCAGACCACTTAATTTGATGTCTAATGGTGCATTTGTAGCTTTCTACGTCGGAGAAGAAGCAAAAGTTCACGGGGAAGGACTATAAGTCACTCATAAATAAGGTACGCAATGGCGGACTTATTGTGGACCAAAGTTACTTAATTTGTACCTTCTTAGGTTGAGAAGCGGGAAGAGAAGCTAGAAAAGCTACGTGAAAAAGAGCCGGAGCGCGCTGTTGAGGTCGAAGAGGATATCAAATGGAATCGAGCTGTAAAGAAAGCGCAAGGAGTCAAAGTCAAAGTAAGGTTTCATATTTTTGTCCCAGCCCTTACAGTTTTCCAAAATTTCTGATATTTCGAGGACAACATAGACTTACTGAAGAAAGGCCTGAAGCGTAAAGAAAAAATGAAAGAAAAGAGGAAGGAACAGTGGTCAAATAGAGAAAAGAACGTGGAAAGGGAGAAAGCAAAGGTGATTCTGCCTTGTATACGTCTTGATTTATGTATGGGTTAAAAAGTACTATTGAATGTCATTTTCAGAAACAAGAGAAACGTAGAGAGAACCTGCAAAAGCGAATAGACGATAAGAAGAAGAATAAATTGAAAGTGATGAGAAAGAAAGGACGTATTTTGTAGAAGATTTCATACTGCTACTTACTCTTGTTGTTGTTTTACTCGTTGTTTTGTTTTGTTTGTTCTGTGCATACGGTTATATGCAGATATTTCCCTGTTAGATGAAGATAGTCTATCTTCATAATGGTTACTTTGTTGAACGTCGAATCGCATTTATTATGTCGTAAAAATAACATCATATCTTACTAAAGGATATCCGTCGGCGACCGCCCCGTTTCGTGCATTCACACCACCGCGGGCGTGCCTT